TCCATCGCCGTCGACCTTCACACACGTCGACTGCGCCTTGAAACACATTTGCGTCTGCGGGACTGCATCCAGAGAAAAGGGGCCAGCTTTCGACGGACGTCTTCGGCTTCTTCGTTGGGTGTGGAAGGACGACACACACAGCAGCGGAGCAACGGGTCCGTGTCCAGGTCGCGGCTATGGAGGGCGGCGGAAAGGGTGGGCGTGCGGTGTTGACGCCTCTTGAGCTGCAGGCCGTGGCGGCGGCCGTGTCTACCGTTGTTCTTCGATGTCAGCAGGAGAGGGCGCTGGGACGACTGAAGGAGCAGTTGCGCGCGCGTAGACGGAGGACATTGATGCAAGCTCCAGATGATGGCCCCGACTACGTGGCGACCTCGGAGGCTGTTGTTCAGCTGTGCTACGCGTTGGTAAGTACGCAATGCATACACATCCACGAATATCATAAAGCAAGTACATATCAGGCCGGCCACCAGTGGCCTAAAACATACACATTAGTCAAACCAACATAAAACAATAGCGTCAAACGAAGACTACGTGTCAAACATACAGTTGAAGAGAAAACGACAGCAGACAAAAAGAACGAGATGAAGAGAAAAGGAGGAAGGGAAAAGTGAAGGGAAGAGGAGAGTAGATGGAAAAAAGAAAGAAGGAAAGATGAATTGACACGTCAGAGTCCCGAACACGACCGAGCTCGAATTAAAAAACATGATCAACACAGCTCCTTAGGTCGAATCGTAAGTAGGAATCGCGCCTGTAGTCCTCGATCCCAAGGTGGACAGCGGCGAGCGACCCTACGTTTCATCCGGTCGCCGAACCGGAATCGTCATGGGTCTTCGTCACGTTAGGTTGCCAACTGACGCATCAATCAATCTATTTAAACCGTCGAGTTGACAGCCAGAAGCCAGCATACCGTACAGAACTAAAAGGTTTCAGAGACCCGGGGGTAGATCTGCAAGAACCTAGACTTGAAAAGCCGCATCAGGAACAACAGAGAATCGAAAAATGGACAATATACAGAGCTCGAAGAGATTAGAAGAAGCGTCAAAATAGGACCCAACTAGTTAAAGTAACAGAGGTCGCTAAGTCCCACAGGTAATGCGTTCGAGACCAGTAACTCCAGAAAAGACCAAAAAATAGAAAGGAAAACGCCGAGACGAGACATCGAATCCCACATCGAACCCCACACATTAGGATCAAGAAGGTAGAGTCAGCTAGCGAGGTCCCAAGGGTAGAGTGTTCAAGACCAGTAACAAAGACCCCAAGTATGCAGTGTAGAAAATCAAAGGTAAGCAAAAGCCGGCTTAGACAGATAATCGTACAGAGCCTACCGTAGGACCAGTGCCCCTTACTACTGTCAGAGGGCCAGCAGGTCAGAGAAAGCAAGGGATTCTATCTCACGCAATAGCCCTTAAAAAGACAATTCCATCCCGTGAAGCAGGCCACCCAGTCCTCCCAAATACTCCCGAATTTGATCGAGAAGTGAGTTAAAGCCTTATCAATTATCTCATTCTTAAAATCCCGCAATCTCAATTCAATCTTGAGCTTCAGCAGGAAAGATGCTTCAGCTAAAGGTGTACTAGTGAAGCGTTTTGCCCGGTGCACGAACGAGTCCACCACCGCGATCTTCTACTGCTTACTCACAAACGAACAGTTATCTTGAATACTCTGGAAGACAATACCCTTCGGCATCATCTCCCTCTGATTTTTATGGTAGGCCGCACACCTATTCCCCATAGGCCATTCCAGATTCTGAATAGTACACCAAAAAAAATCCCATTGATTTGCTCTGCTAGTGCATTCAAGCTTGAGATTAGAGTCATAACAATTCTCGAACTTCCTCAAAACATCACTCGCTTTCTTCATGGAAACTTCATCACCTTCTTTGTACTTGACAAAAACAGACATGTCATCTATCAGCCGAATGCCTCGAATCAGTCGACGATCATTGCTCAGCGAAACCAACAGTGAGAACTCCGAGAAGGCACAGAGGAGGCAGGCAATAGCTGGGGTGGATGGTTTCCCTATCGGTATACCAACAATTTGCTTGAGCACCTGCTTACAAGCAATAGTGAATGTGTTTTCTAGATCAAAGGCAACAAACATGCGGATCAGATCGAAGTCCACCGTTTGCCAACCTTCCCGCACCTTACCTGTCTGCAACTTGCCTTCTTTCCCTCGGGACTTTAGCAGCACACTCCTAATCTCACGTCCTTCCCAGAAATCGATGATCCAGTTGAGAGCATTCATGATAGCACCGTGGGGAAGGTTGCAAAACATCTCTTTGATGTCAAAGGCCGCCGTCAGCATTCCATCCCCCTTCTCCCAACCTTTATTAACATCTTTGAGAGCCTCCACCAACATATCCGTACACTTTAGATTAAAATGCGATCCCTTAGGTAAACTCCATAACATGACGTTGGCACAGCGAGATACCTTCCTGCATGCTCGTACGTTACACTCTGAGAATGATGGACAGATAGGTCACCACCGTAAGACATCTCTGTGTTTAGGAATTGCATACGCTTTCCCCAAGCACCCTTTGGAGTCCCATCTCGCCAACTTTTGTAAGCCCCGCCCCAAATACTCCTCCTTTGCTTCTTGTAGCAACATCTCCTCTTCCTTTTCACAAGCACAAAACCCGGGATTATTGAAGAACAACATCTCCATTCCTTCACGATATCTAACCGGACAGCATGCAAGTGTATCTCCCGGATTGTGGTCGACTGGTGTCATCCTAAGACCACTCAGTTTCCTCTTCCAACCCATAATCTCCTCTTCCGCTCAGAATCCAGAATCATCGTCAGTTTCCATTCTCATACAGCCGACCAATTCATTTCTGCGCAAGACCGGTTCCGGGTGGTCCAACTCAATAAAGGAGCGCCCTATCTGCCTTTTTAGACGTCCAAATGCATTTTGGTTAGACGGTCGAACCACATTCCGATTATTACGTAACGATGGGGGTGCGTCCTCGAGATCATTCAAACGGAAACTAATGTGCCCATCCGTCACTGGATAATCCCCTATCATATTCGAACAAATGTACTGCGTGTCTTCCCTCCTCGAAAATTCCCTAAGATTACACAAGATATCTCCCACGCTTTTATTCCTCAACCAAACAATTCCCATCCTGTGGACCAGCATTTTCTTCCACTCCTCATTACCTTCCACACTCATCACCAATCTAGAGCATAGAGCTATAATACCTGACTTACTCAAGGTTAAGTCATAGGTTATCCGAACCACCAGCCGTCGCCTGATGTTGCATGCAAAATTTCAACGAATAGCCCCTGATAAGATTAATCGAAGAAGAAAACGACTCCATTTCATCGAAAAACTTCGAACAGCAGAAAAAGTACAGATTAGCACAGATAATTCCCAAGTCTTCAAATATTTCCTAGAAGCCGGATCGGCCAGCAAAGTAGACAAGGTGGGTTTCAAGATTAAGGCCCGACTCATAAAGGGAACAATAGCAGATATGGTCACATATTCACCAGGTCGAAACATCCCCTTGGCTTTCTTCAACAACTCACTATGACCCTCAGATTTGATCAGTGAAGAACCGAATTTTCTTTTCAGTATCTTCCAATTTTCAGTGAAGCGTTCACCACCAGAGCACAAAATCCCAACCGACGAAAGGCGTGATGAGACACTGTGATCGAGGATAGACGACAGACTGGTGGATATGAGACCTATAGTTGAGTGAAAAACCATATAAGTTTTTGCAATACCGGCTTCCAAGATAACACCCAGTTTCTTTTTCTGCCTCACCCTTTTGTGTTTGCCTTTTCTGCAACGCTTCTTTCTCCTAACCCCATCACGACTGTTCAAATAAGGACAAAGTAACTTAATCATAAACTTCTCCAAATGCAGGACGTCAGCCGGTTCACAACAACAGACGGGGAGTGCAACGTAATCACCCACCTTTCCCCGCCTAAGCCATCTATAGAGTTTATGGTTCATATGCCCTCCTTCTACACTCCTCGTGCTTATCGCCCTATACACATGTTCACCCCATCTTACAGGTAAGTCATGTGTGGTTGAGCCAACATACGTATGCCTAGACCAAGGGGCGATAAGTACGTACACCAACGCTCCATTGCAATTCTCAAAATCAAAGCCACTCAACAACAGATTCACTAGATACCCCTTAATCCTTTCTGCCCACGGTATCTGTCCTCTAAGAATGAGACCAATGACCAATAGACGAAAGAAATCATTAAAGGACTTATCGCGAAGATGAAAGACAGTATCCGTTGATAATGAGGGGAGGTGGGAGGAGAAGGTGGAGGAAGGAAAAGGCGAGGAAAGGTCCCCCAAGGAAGGCAAAGCGACAGAGGAGTCGGAGGGGATAAGCGAAGCATCAAACAAGTTATCATCAAGCGATCCATCAGCTCTTCCCGCCAATAATCCTATACCCTCCCGCTTCCTTCGGCATTCATTCGTCAGCGACCATAGTTTAGCCACGTTCGGAAAAACTCCTCATAGCTCAACGAACCTCTCATCCCCTTCCTCAGACCTTGCTGAGTCCTTCAGCTCCGAGTCATCGTCAACATCAACCACTTGTTTTTTACCTTTGGATCCTGGAGCATCCTCACGCGCCGTGCCAAAGGCTTGTTCCACCCGATATTCAGCGAGTTCACACACCATTTGTTCAACCTTACCCACACGAATCCCGGCCTCCTTACACATAGGTTCCAGTCCCAACTTTTTTAAGTTGCACAGCTGCTTCTTCTGATCTTCAATAAATTGAAAACGGTTGTTGACGTCCTTCAGTCGATCCAACCCCTCGTCCGTCGATCCCCGGCCTGGCGTCTCTTTCCTTCCTCTCTGCACAGATCCGAGTGTCACCGTTTCCAATCTCTCTTTGAGATTTGTCCCCCCACTCCCTGTTCCTTTCCCAACTTCGGCGGCATTAAGGCGGCTCATCTTATCTTCGAGATCTCTAATCTGGTTCTCTGCTTCCATCCTCTTGACCTCAGCTGCCGCTCTTTTCTCCTTCAGCAGCTCCGCCTCCACGTTTGCAAGCTTATGTAAGCTCTGCAACTTCTTGTACTCTTCTTTCCACTTATCATCTTTCCTCATGCAGTCAGTCCATTGAGGTTTCGGAGAGCCTCGATTCGGTAACCCCGGAGTGCCCATCGCCACACTCCCACGCTTGTTTCCAGGTCTCATAGCTTCATCTTTCCATAATTTAGTCTCCTCCACCACTTTTTCGTTCTGTCTACGCAAAGCATCAACCTCTTTCCGCAGCCCAGCAATCTCTTGCTCGAAATTGGTTTTCATGAAGGCAGACTGTTTCAGCTCCCCAAGTTCCTGCTTCAGTACGAAGATTTCATCGCTTTCCACCGTTTTACTACTCACCATCTTGCGGAACTCACAAATCTCATTCTGTAACTTAGAAACACAATCCCCCTCCCTCCGACTAGTTCCCTCTCCACTCAATTTCCTCATTAATTCCTCATTTTCTCGCTTCAGACGCGCCATCCTGGTAACGTCTCTCATATTGGTTCCATCCTGACATGTCCTTCGCTTCAATTCCTCGTTTTCTCGTTTGAGGCGCGCCACTTCGCTCTCCGACCCGTAACTGTTACCAGCGCCATTCATCCTCCTAAGAAGCTCGCCATTCTCCTTTTTTAAACGTGTCACCTCATCTAGTTGACCCGTCCCACCTTGCTCATCCTTTTTTCTCAGACCAAGCTCTTCAAATCGCTTGTCCAATCTGGCAGCCATCTCTGCCTCCAGCTGCTCCCTCTTTTTCTTCCATTCGTTGCGTTTTTCTTCTTCCTCTTTTTTAATCCTCTCCTTTTCTTCGTTGTCCTTGCGCTTCCTCTCACTTTCCTCATATTGCACATATTTGTTGTAGACTTTGTCAAAACGGTCTTGATTGTCCTTCCACCAGTTGTTTCGCGGTCGAGGTTGATAACCAAAGGAGGAGTTACCAGTCGTTCCAGATGTGGAAGCCATATTGTTCGCAGGAGTCGCTGCAGCCGCAGGAGCCCCGCCCGACGCAGGAAGAGCAAGAATTGGGCCAGCAGTAGGGATAGCATTAGCACCCGTAGCCGGGGGTCGAAACCCATAAGATCGCTGTGGGCACTCTCTACTCCAGTGGTTGAGAGCACCACAAGTAAAGCGTCCTTGATTCGGCGGAGCGCCGGCCATATCTCGGCAATCCACAAAGACAAAACACAAGTTAACGTCCTGATCGATACAAGCAAATGATATAATGTCACGAGTCACTCGCACATCGTACAGTTGCTACGGCGGTTCCAACATTGAATTGATGGTAAGTACGCAATGCATACGCATCCACGAATAATATCATAAAGCAAGTACATATCGGGCCGGCCACCAGTGGCCTAAAACATACACATTAGTCAAACCAACATAAAACCATAGCGTCAAACGAAGACTACGTGTCAAAGATGCAGTTGAAGAGAAAACGACAGCAGACAGAAAGAACGAGATAAAGAGAAAAGGAGGAAGGGAAAAGTGAAGGGAAGAGGAGAGTAGATGGAAAAAAGAAAGAAGGAAAGATGAATTGACACGTCAGAGTCCCGAATGCGACCGAGCTCAAATTAAAAAACATGATCAACACAGCTCCTTAGGTCCAATCGTAAGTAGGTATCGCGCCCGTAGTCCTCGATCCCAAGGTGGACAGCGGCGAGTGACCCTACGTTTCATCCGGTCGCCGAACCGGAATCGTCATGGGTCTTCGTCACGTTAGGTTGCCAACTGACGCATCAATCAATCTATTTAAACCG